GGGGGATAAACCCAAGCCTAAAAGGCATACCAAATTGCAACTGAAATAAGATGATGTCCTACAGGTAATAATCAAATGCAAAACTGATGCACTTCAGTAACGGGAAGGAAAAAGAACAAGAGGGATAGAAAAGGCATTTCCAAATTTAATTATTATTAGGCATTCTGATTAGGCTTTATGAAAATCTCCTTTGATCAGGACCTTCCAGCATTATATAGCAAATAAACCAAGAATTAGTTCAACCATTTTTTTTCCTCAAGGAATTGCTACTTAAAAGTATTGTTCACAGATTTTATTTATTTGACACAAAATGTTCCAATTACATCTGGAATCAAGTATCCTCCCACTTCACAGGTTACAAAACTACATCCTTTTGGGATGTTAATTTTCTGAATCTGTTAAACAGTGAAGATGTTACCATGTACAAAAATATATCATGAAGAGATTTCTGTGCTCCAAAAATTATAAAGACCAAATAGGATGTTGCTTTTTCAAGATCAGACATGGTGCACTTTTTTTTAATATTATACATGACTTGTCAAAAATTCTGATCCTTCAACACACACCACATATTTTGTTCTTAGGCTGCAGGTGAGTTTTTCCCTAGAAGTTACTGTTTTTTTAGCATCCAGGGATTTTGCACATTAAATGAACAGCAAAAGACCGACCAAACTTAACATAGTCCCTTAGCATTATTTCTCCTTTCTCTGCCTTATAATATGGACTCAGGTTTTGACTTTTTAAAAGTTTATTAATTTAATTTCCCCTTTACTTGAGCTATTTGTCTTTTGATGGGGACTGGTGGACAGAAAGTTTATGCTATGAAAAGTTGGGTTTCTATTGGAGAGGAAGGAATTTTTTTTTTCCTTCTTTAGGCATCTTTTTCACTTTTTATTCATTTTCTTTGCTCTGGAATTCAATTCCCTAACCGCAGTCTTTGTGAAGCAGCTTTGTTCTCAGCTCTTATCTACATCTTCAAGATCATTACAACTGTAGTGGTAATTCATCAGCCAAAATTCAGTTTGCAGCATAATAAATTCTTCAGCCACTAACTGCTCCTTCCCTGATAGGCATTTAGCTTTGAACTGGCATGGGGAGGTGACAAGGCAAACATATTCTGTATCAGGCAGAGTCTGGGCATCATCTTCATGTTCAACTACAGAAGAAATCATAGTAATATGGCCTGAAGGTGATAAATTAATTTTGGCTAGGTTCCTGTCTGAGAGGAAAGAACAATTTTCCTAATGAGATAAAGATGAAGGAAGACAAGGACCTTTAGGCAACTGGAATTTAGTCTGAGAGAGGCCCTAATAAATCAGATTGTGCTTCTCTTTGTTTAAGGAAATACCTGTTAGGAGATCCGGGGCCTGTTTATTTTTCTCTGACAAACCTGATTTTCTTGGTAGTGCACAAACTCAGAATCATAACTTGAAATGAGAATAAAAGCAGGTGGTCAAGTAAAAGTTTCATTTTTTTTTGTCATCTAAAATAAGTAAACACAAATCCCAACCAATGCGACTCAATTTAGAGAGATCTCCTGCTACCTGGAAACTTGTATTTCCATACCCAGATGAGCAGATCTGCTTGGAAAACTTGCACTAGAAAAACTAGAAAACACCAACATTCTCACAAACATGCATGCGAAGTACCAAGAGGCCAGGTGGTAGGGATCCAAAATCCCATGGAAGCAGTGACTACAGAAGACGCAGCCCCTTCACATAGTATTCTTGGGCAGGCTGGGGGGGCACACACTCCACAGACTTTGAGAAAGCTCATATTGTGAGCAGCAGATTTAACACATGACCACTCCACTTTCCTGTAGCACTACTGTCATTGCTGATAGCAGCAGCCACTCCTGCCCAAGGGGGCCAACTCAGCTAACATACCATGTTCCTGTGCCACAGTCCCATTACAAAAGCTACAGCCTTTGTCAGGCAGGTTCTGCTTCGCCAGTCTCTCACTGTGATCTCTCAGAAAAAACTCCCAGAAAAGACAGAGAAATTAATGTCTCTTGGCTACCGCCTTTCAAGCAGAGTTGTTTGGGACCTCTGGCTATCTTAAACTGATAGAGAGGCCACGTCCCAAGTCAATGAAAACTCAGGCTGCTGTGAAAGCAGCAGTCCCAGTTGGACTCCTCCCCCAAGCTATGCATTGCTGCCCCTCTTTTATGCCAACCCAGGGCATCACGTAGCCATTACCTGCACCAGAAAAGGATTGGGGCGCTTGGGCAGGAGCAGCAGAAAAGGCAGGACCACTCCTTCAGGGAGCTCGCACTTCGATTGACACACAGTGAGTGTGCAACCATCCCTCAAGAAACCACCATCCTGCTTGTGCTATACAGCTTCCAGAGTCATCGGCAGCAGCACACAGCCTCAGCCTGCCTCTGCCTAAAGAGGCGGAAGCTGAGAGCAGGACTAATCGCTGCCTGTCCTTCAGGACAAGAATGCCAAAACCTGGATTTGTCAGATTCCTAAATATCAATTTCAAGGTGTTTAAGAAAGGAGAGGTCATACCTAAATGCTAAGTTTATAGTTAACAGTGGGCTAAGAAAGTAACTTTCTCTGTGAAGAGCTTGTTATGTTTTTGATCTCGGCTGCACATTGCGTATTTCATCCCAGAAAGTAATAAAAAGCTACAGCTAAGCAATTAGTTATAAATTAAAGTATAACAAAACTTTTCAAACTGACTTGGATAATATAAAATTCTGTACCTGATACACTCTTTATCTGAGGGATGATATCAGCTATTGCTCTGGGACTCCTTGTATGACACAACAGCTTTTCCCATGCTTGCCCTCTGAGATGCCAGCAAGTGACTGTTCTCTCTGAAGGAAGACCAGTCTTATCAGCTTAATTCCTCTTCTCCTCCCTTCCCCTCCCCTGCCACGAGAGAGCTCTTACACCCAAAGGGCGGCAGAGGTTCTGACTTTGTTTTCAGGAGTGCAAATTCGCTTTCAGTAGTGTCATATAAAGCTCTAGTACCTCAGAAATTTCTGTATCTTTGAATGAGCACCTTATAGCTTCTGCGGTGATCATTAAAAATTCTGACAGGAGGTCCATCTATCTCAGAGGATTTATCCAAACCGTGATGAAACTTAACAGTACAGATAGCTGGTAAAGAACAATTTTTGAAGTCTACCTTTACCAGGCTTTTAGGAATTATTTCTCTGAAACTTTTCATATAACCAATTTGGACATGAACAAATAATGCAGTTGGGTGTTTACTTGTAAAAGTGGATCTAGTGGATCCAGAAGCTTCCCTGAAAGGGCCAGGAACATGGTACTTGCCCTGCTCTGTTTCAGTGCAAAGTAAATGACGCCAGCTTCAGTCGCTGAGGCAATAGTGAACTGCTGCAATACGTTCATTGCAACATTCGTTTCATAATACCATGCTCCCAAAACCATACAACCACCACCAACTCTGTGCCTTTTTGCTTTAGATGTATGCTTGCACAATGTGCATGTGGGCCATAGTAGATAGTGCGCATCTAAATGAATACCTTCTAGCCACAGCGATGCAAGTTCCTAATACTTACAAATTCACAGTATCCTTCAAATAGTAAAATATTCCATTCTGGAATTGATTTTTTAAAATTGTGTTTAAAAAAAGCAACCAACTTCTTCTCAAAGTGCTGACATAGCATTTTAAGATTTTTTTTTGTTGTTGTTAAATACTTTTTTCCTTAAAGCAAGGACCAACAAAAATCTGTACCACTTTTCCTTATTGTTGTTATTGCTGCTACTGTTATAAATAAAAGCAGTGGGTCTCCATAAGTAAGGAAACCAACGATGCTTCAGATTGAAGCTCCCCTTTTTGCCAGATGACCACCCCCTGATTTATAGCTGTCATCATTAAAGCACATTTCTACTGAAATCTGCATACATATATTAAAAAAATCTACAGTATTTCAGCCCTTCAATTTAACTTTCCTCAAAAACTATGGTATAGTTCACAGTGAAAGATTAATTACATAAGTTAATTTTACTGATAAGTTTTGCAGTTAGCAAGCAACATGAGTACATTTTACAGTCTGTGGCAATACAAGTAGGGCTTGCAAAAGCAGTACCGAGCGCTACCTTAACCAACTAAAATGACCTCAGTTCTTTAAAAAAAAAAACCCAAACCAGGATATACACTTGGAAATTTTCCATAGCACCTTTCTTTGTCACACCACCTTTAGCAGTGGCAGTAAAGGATTCTAGGCTGCTAATTGCATTCTATCCCATTAACTCTCAAGGGCTAACCTGAAAGCACAGATCCAGTCAGTTCTGTGCTTTCTGTTCTGACTTCTGTTCCAGCCTTTTGAATTTACTCACATTCTATAGTTTCAAAAATATAGAGAAAAGCACATGCTGAGTTTTCTTTTTTTTTTTTTTTTTTACTTCTCTATTTGGTGGGACTTAAGCACATGCATAAATGCTTTCCTGAATGGATACCAATATGCTACAAAATGACAATAACTTCTCAATACCATTCACTTTGTAAAGACACTTTGAAGGTAAAAGTTACTTTTCAGAAATAACCTACAAAAATGTATAAAAATAAGAATTGTCAAACATTTTCCAATTCAGCTTTAAAAAACTTCAAAACAAATGCTTTTATTACAAACTTCTAAGAAGGAATGCACATAATAGTACAAATTAATGGCTTCTAAATGGAGGATCAATATCTCATTGTATTTTACACAAAGAGCTAAAAACCCATTGCTGTAACAATACAAAAAAAGCGAAAGCTTTACAGATCAGGTTACCTATCTGATTTGATGTTTTTAATAGACTATAAATCTGGCTACAGGCATTTCAGAGTCTCAATCACAATCGTTAAAAGTAGAGATTAAAAAAAGAGGCAGTCTATGACTTTTAAGTATTTACTACCATTCTATCAACTCTACAAATGTCTTTTAAAGGAGACGTAGCTGGTTGACAGTTATAAAGCAGCATTTTGGTGTTGCTCTATATCATGGTAAGATTACTTAGATTAAATGATACGTATTATCTTACCTGATACATTCCAACTCCTATGTGTTTGGGCTCAATTTTCACTAGCTCAGCTAATGGGTCTTGGACGCGTCTAGCTATGGAAACTGAAAAATAGAATTAGAAAACAACTATGGATTTTATCTGAATATCAGAATCAGGTAATTGCTTTTGCTTTTTTTTTTTTAATTGTCTACATGTTTAATCTCTTTTTTTACCTGGAAATAATCAATAATATAGCAGAATCCTTTTTCACTGTTAGATACAGGACATGAAGTTTATGTTAATCAAACTTTTTAACGGAATAATTCAAGCAAAGGCCTAAGGAAATTTCAAACTGTAATCATGACATTAAAAAAGTTTTTTCAGGCCACAGAGTTAACAAATAGAACTGTGTACACTAAATTTTCCCCTTGTATCCATACTAAAATGCCCACGTAACATTTAAAATTAAACTCTGAAATATCCTTTAATCTTAAATCACAGATATGTAGAAACAAATAAACATTTAAAAAAAGAATGGAGTAACTGTTCACAGACTTATTTATCTAATACAGTATTTCGTAAGGTATGTATTATATACTTATATATTTATATAATTTAACCATAAATTTCAGTGTTCATTTTAAAAATGGTTCTTGGACCTTACTAATATAAACTGGATACCAAAAAACATCAATTTGCAATATGTCATCGTTATAACCATGTTTAGAAAAAAACAAGGCAATTTCCAACATTTCTGGTACCATTAAGAGCACAGTGGAAGAACCTTTGGTCTTCTAAATCCAAATGTTGAACGAAAACTGCATTTTTGAAGCCTGTATCTATTGATAAATCCTTTACTTACTCAAATCTCAGAACAAACACTTATTTGCAAAATGTCAATTTGTAAATTCGCTACCTTGGTCTAATTGTGCAGATACTGAGTTTCATTCAGTATTTGCAACTGTGCTCCCTCCCATATATACTGAAGAGTTTCACTCTACCAGTATTACATTTATAAACCTTTTTCTCCTGAGTAAAGTAAAGACAGGCTGGCTAGTTTAGCAACTCTTAGAACATGCATTCTACCTAGTGAAGTAAACATTGATGAAGTACAGGAGTGTCTGGAAGTATTGCAAAGGTCTTTCCAAAAAAGGACTAAAGGTCTTTCCAAAAAAAAAAAACCCACAACAAAAAACCACACAAACCCCCAACAAAACAAAATCAAACACACACACACACCCCCCAACCCCAAAACAACAAAGAACCAAGGCCAGGCCTCATTGCTAAGGCTGCTTTTCCTACCACGTGCACTTGCACAAGAAGGGAGAAATGGAGTGGGACAGAAGAAAGCTGTGATCCTTTATAAGCTATCTTCAGAAGCACCCCCACAGTTGGCATTAGTCATTCCAAGAGACTCTTCCAAAAATTTATTTCACATTTAAATTCATTTTAAAAAAAAAAATCAAGAGAGGGTCAGAGGAAGAATAGACAGGAGTCAGGAGTAAACATGTATATGCATAGTGGTTTGGTCAACAATACATACGTAATGTTTAAGTAGGAAAACCGGAACTATCTACAGTGGTCAATAGCTGATTTTATACACATACACATATGTATAAAATCATGAGCATGATTATAATTATCATATACATATGATATATAT